GAATTTGTTATATCATTTTCACATGATCTCACTTATTTTGACAATTGCAAGGAAACTATAGTTATTACAGATCAAGGATACGCCATTAAGGCGCACGAATTGACCAAATATTTCAAAAGACCTAAACGTAATATTGACTCCGCTCTAATAATAGGTGCAGTTACAACAAATCAGTTAGCCTCGTGATTACAAGCGTTGGAAACTGCCTTGGTTCAAGCTTTAACATTTTCATTTCAGCATGCCCTTCTAAATGTTTGTAATACTGTGAACAGGTTAGGTTGTTCCAACAATTCATTGCATCAGTAGCAGCTAATCCAACGATAGCAGCACGAGCGCTCCTGAACAACATCAAACATACATGCCAGGTTGGCGACTTCCATTCTCGAACTATGGCCTTGTGTCCCAATTCCAGCATCTTCTTTTCAATTTGTACCGAACAATAACACTCACACTTGTTATGAATATCTTCCTGTTCGAATAGATCTATCTGGGCAAGTTGCTCATGGATTTTTGGATCCAGTAACTATGATTGCATCGCATTTTTCTCGAAAAACAGATTGCATCATGTTTAGATATGTTCTTGTTCAAATTATGTGTAACCTAATGATAGTTGGTCAAGTAGAAGGTCTCACGAAATTGATACCTCGATCACAGATCTCAACATTGCAATTAACCATTCCGTCAATGCCATCTCACCTAAAAAATACATTCTTTCACAATTTGATAATTACAATTCATCCGAGCTCTTTCCATCTGTTCATCTAGCTGCGGCTTCTCGTGTCTTGCAAGCTGAACGTCTTATTGCTGACCCATCATTAATAATTGCATCTAACAACAATCATAAGCATCGAACAAATTTCGCTCTCTTACCGTCCTCAATCTTTAATTTTCTTTCATCACTATGGAACATTTGGGTATCAACAGTTTGCTTGTTAATAACGATCAAAACCATTAGTCTTATCTTACTCAAAATCTTCTTTCCCAATCTGCTTAAAATTGGAACATTCTTTCTCATTCTAAAAATAATCATGTTGAAATTGTTTAGCTTCATTCCGATCATCCCATTCAGCATTCTTCTCAAACTAACCCGATCGTTATCTCCCGCGTGGGAAATACGAAAAGCTGGCCTCCTGTAGTCACAATACCACAATTTACTTCAGATGTAAACATGCTTTCTTCTCCTTTTAGCTCACAAATATGTGGGAGAATAAACAATATCTATTGTAGCTTTCTAATAGATAAGGGTTCCGCCCTTACGGTTACATCATCAAATTGCATAGCAATGTTAGACTTCCGAATCACTTCTAATTTTATGCATGCTGTTGGAGTATCCGGGCATGCTGTTAATATTATCGACAATGCCGCAGTCAATTTCCAAATAGCCGATATTGTAATATCGGCACCACTGCACTTTTCTGATAATAATTTTATCAATATCACGCGTTCTTACGACGTTATTATAGGATGTGATGTATTGCGTTATCTCCCTTCTTTCACTATCGATATTCCAAATAACTTATTTACTATTAATAATACTAAGTTACCTTTAGGCGATCCACGTTGTAGGCTACCTAGAACTCTTTCTGTTAGACTAATGGCTACCACCACTATTCCCCCGAATTCTGAAATGGGATAGCCTGCGCCATCCCAAATTACTCTCATCTTATCAACATACTCTTTAGAAAACATTAATTCCAAATTACTGCAACATCATCTCTTTTTAACACCAGGCATAATAACACCTTCTAATGGGAAAATTAATCTATTAATATGTAATCCCACAAACCAACCCGTTAATCTATATAAGAATGCA